AAATAACAATAAACAGTGTGTATTAGAACAACACAATCAAGATTGAGTTGTATGGCCCTACAGAAGATTTAGCCATGTGAATATTTCATTCTAGAGGAACACTCATGACTTGAAAGATCATTTCACTCATGTAGTCTCTCAGATGATGTCAGGTAACGTACAACCTTCAGGTCCATGAATTAAAAATGCCTGAGATCTATTTGTGGCTCCATATCTTTTAGAAAATAATTACTATGTAATTTCTAGAGAAATCACTTTGGATGTTCTACATATCCCTCTTTTAAAAATAGTTTAGATAATTTAGTTATTTGCCTAAATGTTTTAAAAGGCCTTAAATGGAAACAAAATGGCACTGAATTTATTTCATTTACTGTAACTAAAGATATAAACCAAAAGTCATCAGACCCAGATCACAGATTGTGATAAACGTGGGGAACTCAACACAAGCCCACAGAAGAATCAAGTCTGAAAGATTTCAATTGCTGGAAGATTGACTAAGGCTCTGTTTAATTATTAGTGCTATAAAAAGTGAGTAATATTTACCTGGCCATAATAGTACTGTGTAAAAATAACTTATCTTTCCTGCCAGGTGCCCCATTTCTCACAGTTATTAAAAACATGAAAAGAAAGCTTTACACAGTCATCACTTCTCCAGGTCCGCCTCCCCATCACCTTATATGATTGGGGGCTTGTAGATTGTTAAAGAAGCTGATTTTTTTATTTTTAACTGCCAGTGCTAGCCCGGGTCTTAAATGAAATCAGTGACAAGTGGCTTTGTTAGTGAAGGGTACCAGCAAAAATACCCCAGGGAGCAACAGAGTATGTGTATGTGTGTGCCGTATGTGTGATAGTGGTAAAATATCTGCCTGCCAGTGCAGGAGATGCAGGAGATGTGGGCTCGATCCCTGGGTGGAAAAGATCCCCTGGAGGAGGAAACGGCAACCCACTCCAGGATTCTTGCCTGGAGAATCCCATGGACAGAGGAGCCTGGGGGGCTACAGTTCATGGGGTTGCAAAGAGCTGGACACGACTGAGCGACTGAGCACACAAACTTCCCAGTAACTGGTACAATCAGTCCCGCTGAGTGATGAGTCATTTAGGGTGCTTGTTCTTAGTAAATCCAAACATAAACATACCCACAGGACTTTCTGGGATGTGCTCACACACAGTGCTGACCAGAAAAACCGATGTTACAAGACTATCAATTCCTAATGGATATGTCATAATGTCTCGGAAGAGTATATTCAGGAAGTTTACAGCGACTGTGATTCATTAACCCAACTTCAACATCATCATGCAATATGGGTTCAGATGACATTACTGAATGCTTTCTGGATTTTGGCAAAGATGTCCAGGAGTCATTAGTTATCTGTCAATCATTTACAAATCCTTTCTGAAATCAGTTAGCAAATAATGTTTTATCAGTATAAACAAGGATCCTTGTACATGTGAGTCACTGCAGGTCTGCTCTGTGGTGGTATCTGATGAGTTCGGTGGGATAGCAAAGGTGATTAAATGCCCACATCTGCCCAGAGGAAATGGTCGGGCTGTGCCTTGATCGGGAAAACTAATTGCTAAAAATTGAGGTTGTAATTCCTCTTTCACTTTTCCCCCAGCCTGGCTGGAACCTAAATTGTTCATTAACCATCTCTCGGGCTGAGTTCCGTGCACCTGTTGTTTGTATCACATGTGAATGTTATTCCAGCCTTCTTTCACAAAAATATGTTCATTTCTCACAAAGTTCTGGGTGTCTATTTCTAGTCAATTAGCCTCCTAGATAAGCTTCAAAAGACCAAAGTAACTCATTAATGCGACATCTCCTCAGCATGCCAGTAAGTTCTACAGGAATGTGAATAAGACAGGCAAATAGCAAATTGTATTTTTTAAAGGTTCAAGTGGGAGTTATTAGGAAACCAGTAACACTATCATCTTTCAATATTTTTTTTATATTTTGTAAATAAGTCTGTCTAATCAGAGGTATATAACAAAGCATGGAATCCAATCTCTCTTATTGTTCCATGTTTTATTAAATAGCCATACACACAAAAGAAGAGGACCAAAGCAAAGAATGACGTGACGCTATTAAATTACAAACCATTGGAGGTCTTCCACAGGGTGTCAGGTCATACCTGTGACTAAGAATGGGCATCAAGGACAAAACACAGAAAAGAAACTTGCATATATCTTCCAAAATTCCATTTATGGAAGATGGGTCTCTCACCCAAGACCCCAAGTCACACAGTCCACAGTGGTTTTCAATGACATCAACATGTGTATTAGAGGGCTTCCCTGGTGGTCTAGTGGTTAAGAATCCACCTTGTAATGCAAGGGACATCAGCTCCATCCCTGGTCTGGGAAGACCCTATGTACTGCGAGCAACCAAGTGTATGTCACAACTGCTGAACCCAAGCTCCAGAGCCACAACCATGGGCCCACGTGTCACAACTACCGAAGCCCGTGCACCTAGAGCCCAGACTCTGCAACAAGGGAAGCCCCTGCAACAAGAAGCCCGCACACCGCAACTGGAGAAAAAGCCCAGACAGCAACGAAGACCCGGCACCACCTGAAGTTTAACCAATAAATAATTTTTAAAAATAAAATAAAGACTTCTGGGACTTCACTGGAGGTCCAGTGATTAAGAATCCACCTGTCGATGCAGGGGACACACGGTCAATCCCTGAAGACCCTACATGCCGCAGGGCAACTAAACTCGCCTGCCTCAACCACTCGTCCGCACACCCTGTGCTGCTCAGGAGGAGAAGCCCTTTCACCGCCGAGAAGAGCGGCCCCCACTCCGCACAGCCCCCACTCCGCACAGCCCCGTGGGGAAACAAGGCCCAGTGCGGCCAAGACGCAAGCAAACAAATCAGTCTTTTTAATTGCTGAAGACTGAAATTAAAACAATATACTACTACAGCCTGAATGCAGATGTGCATGGGAGAGGCAGCTTTCTATGAAGCTGGACATTAAAAACACTTCTGAAAATGCCACTTTTTAAAGATTCTTTTGCTTTGGAAAATAGCTCTTTTCAATTTTCAATATGTTATCATAATCACCTTGATAACAATAAATTAATATACCTATAACTAATAATTTTTACTTTCTCAATTTTAATTCCAAATGCAATAAACATGAATAGATACAATTTACATAACCAAAAACTTTTTGGAGTCCTAATAATTTTTAAGAGAATAGATGTTTCACAGGGTCATATGTCCTTTAACATTTACACAGGTACATTTCTGGTACTGCAGCACATTATTGTCTGGTTGCTTAAAGAAATAGCAACAAAGAACTGACATGGATAATTATAATCACCCAACCCTTTGTAGACTGAAATATATATTTACTTGTCCAGCTAAATATTCACTTCCAGCCTCCCTTGCAGCTAAGTGTGAAAGAAAAAGTGAAAGTGAAAGTCGCTCAGTTGTGTCTGAATTTTTTGTAACCCCAAGGACTATAGCTATCAGGGAAGCAGCTAAGTGTGCATATCTGTCAAATTTCTGCCTAGTGAAATATAAGCAAAGTATTTACACAGTACTTTGAGCAAATGTACTGAAAAAGGGAATACATGTTTTCTCCCTTCATCCATACTGCTTCCTGGCAGTGATGGCTGACCTCTAGCAGCTGTTTTGGAACGTGAGGCCAAGAGACAGAGGACAGAGTACATGGAAGGAGTGAGCTCCTATGTAACTTCATAGGGGCACTGTACCATCCCTACCTCTGAATTTCTTTTACAGAAGAAAAATAAATGTCTTATTTAAACCACTGCCTTTCTGGTTTTTCTATTATATGCAAATTTAATCCAAAAAAATATAATTTTGATGGGGAAAATGCTGTACATAAACAGTCTGTGTTTTCCAAATGGTACCTTAGGCAAAAAAAAAAAAAAATTGCTCCATTAGCAAAATCAAAACATACAAGAAAATGACTAACTGTTCCACAACATAGGAAAAGACATGCATTGTTCTAAGAATCCAGATTTTATTACTTTGAAAAACAATAGACATATTCCACAAGAGCCTAAAACTAATCTTGGTCATTTGAATAATATCTCTTTCATGTGAAGAGTAACCCTTTTTTTCCCATGGATTCAAGGAAAGAATGAAAATTTTTTAATTATGGGATATGTATTTGCCAGCATTAATCTCAAAGTATAAAGTGTTACTTTTGGGGGACAAAGAAATAGTCTGCCCTTTTAATCAACTGACCAATCTACAAACAAGCTAAGGTTAACTCCTCAGCTAATGAACATAGACGATAAAAAACAAAAAAAAAAGCTGGTTGACAAAACAAGAAGAGATAAATGAGCACAAGCTCAGCAAGGCTGCCTGCAGGGTTTCGAAGTGTCAATCATACCCCCGGTCATCACTTGGAGAATGAATGTCTGCCCATGTTATCATCTAAAATATATTTACAGAGGTCAGAAGAGCTACGTCTGTCCTCCTCTATGCAAAGAGGTGATGACATCCAGGGGGTATGTCACAAGCCTAAGTTTAGTTAGTGGATTTAAGCTGGTTTGCAGTTTTCCCCACTAAGTGTGATCTTCTGACCCCTCAGTTTTACAACCTTCTACTCTCTGCCTGCACACCAACTCTCCACTTCTGAGTTAATCATTTCTGTGCCATTATCTGCCAAGAGTTCTTATCTCTTTTGCTGTCACTTTATAACAGGGTCCTCTTATCAACCTGCCTGGAGTCACATGATTCGGCCAAACCTATCAAAAGTTTCCATTCCTCTGATTAGAAACCATCACGAAACTGCATACAAGGTTTACAGCAGATCACTAATGCTGGAAAAAGTACAGAGTCCAGGGAAAGACGTGCTTGTAACTTTCTGGTTTCTTGGAGTTTCTTTTTTGCTTTTTCTTAACTTTCACTCAGGGTTACTGTAGTCTGATGTGTCCTGCCCAAGGCTACAAAATTTGACAAGCTTCACTTCCTTCTTTTACTCAATGATATCTGCTTTAAACCAAAGGACTGCCTATCATTTCATTAAGAATGTCTTCTAATTCGGATACTGGGGATTTACAAGAATCTCTAAAGCACGGACTTACACCTATTGGTAAGTAGGAGTTGCTCTATTTATCATCTATTTATTATCCTGCTATGACACTAATACATGTAATTCAATGCCATTGATGTACTTACTATTATAAGTCACTGCTTTTCCAGTTGTGTTTATTAAAAGCACGTAAGACCATGTATATATCACACATTTATCTTTCCTGAAGTTAAAGAGGCAAATGAATATTTCAAATAATCTTATAGCCTTTGTTGTTGGATGTCATTCCACCAACCTAAATCAGCCAGAAAGCAAAATGTACAATATATTCATTTCATCCCTAATATTTTCTGATACTTTTAAATGAGAAATAATAAACTAAAAGTTGAACCACTTGAAACAAGTTAACCATATGGAGTCATCACTGATCCAACCTTAGCAAATGCTTTCAACTGTCCGTGGAGTTTGAAGCCACACCACAGTCTATCTCATTCATTGCAGGTACTACAGAAAACTTTTGTTTTTCGTTCCAAAAGACAAAACCAAAACCCCAAATAATACCATCATTAAGTTAAGAAGTTAAGGGTTACAGATGTTCAAGATAATGGGTGTATCTTCTTTTAATAAACAGAATAAGTACACAAAGCTAACTTTCATTTTTAGAAAGAACAAGCAATGAATGTCAAGTCACAAACTTTAATGTTACAGCGAGAACTCCTTCAATTAACCCTAAACGTAAAGGGTGAAAAAGAAAAGACTCCCAGGCATCTGTAATCATTGGCCTGTGGAAAATCTTGCCTTTATTCCTCCGCACTAGTTTTTGAAGGCCCTAATCCCTTTCTTGCAGCACTTTCTTAGGCTTTGGAATGAGTTGGAATGTCCCTGTAATTCGCAAAGGCCTGAGTTCCAGCTCTGCTGAGAAGGAAAACTAAGGTCTGGGTTTTCCCTCCTTCTCCCTTCATAACCAGCTGACTCCACTGAACGCAGTGATTGCTTTTTTATGGGTCAACTACACCCTAAAGTATATCAATTGAGGAAATGGCAAAAAAAAAAAAAAAAAAAAGTTCTGCACTTACGAAAAGGAAAACACTGGGAAGGCAGGCAGAGTGCAACAGAATTCAATTGCTCTGCAGATAAAAAGAAAATACGGGTACAGAAATGAGCTGGAAGAGAACACAGCGGCGATTTCACATCTTTGCCCAGGGAGCAGCCGCCGGGCGCCTGGGCAAAGGGTCCCTGAAGGCGGAGGCCGCTGGGGCGAAGGCGCGCCCGAGTCTGGGGCGCGGGGACGCGCGGCGAGTCCCGGAGAGGCGGGGGCGTGCAGCGAGGGCGCGCTCAGAGACGCACCCACCTGTGGCTGAGAATTCAGGGCGAGGAAATCCGGGACCGCGCTCGGGGACCCTCACGTGGCGGCGCCAGCCCGGGGTGAATGAAACGAGTGAGGCGGTGGAAGGGACCGCCTTCGCGTTGCGTCGGATCCCGCCCAGCGCTCAGGCCGCGCGGGGTCTGTCCGGGGCACGAAGCTGGACCCCCTGCCCGTCTGGGGTCCGCGGCGTCCGGAGCGCCGGCCGCCAAGGGGGGCGGCGCTGGGGGCGGCCGTCTAATCCCGAGGGACCTCTGGAGGTTGAGCCTCAAGAAGGTCCTGAAGGAGGAACCCAGGAGCCCACCGCGACTCCCGATCACAGGCTGACCAAAGAACAGTTTTCCGTTCAAAGAACCGTCTCCCCGGACCTCACTCACCTGCATGGCCTGCTCCGCGTCCAGGCGCGCTCCCCCGCCCCCCCCTTACCCCCCAGGTGCCCGGGTATGGCAGCCTCGCAGGTGGTGTGAGACGCCCTCTTTGGAACACCCTGGTCACCTCGGGGAGGCTGCTGGCTCTGGGAGTCATCTGCTCCATAGCATAGCCTCCGGGGATGTTAGGGTTGGGGGTGTCATTCCCCGGGTGCTGGGGGCCCTTTCCGGGATGCTTGGCCAGACGGTCACTCAGAAGGACAGTGCTCCATCAGCTCCTTCAGTGCGTCCCTGAAGCCACTCGCCTCTAGAATGGGGGTGGGGGTCTGACCGCCCAGGGCAGGCCCACCGAGGAGAACCCACCTGTGCAGCCCGTGGCTGCTTTCCCCGGGGCTTTGATGGCTAACGGCACCTTGGGACCAGGGGAGAGAGGGCCCCAAAACTGAGCCCATTGGATGTACAGCGCAGTCAGGGACTGAATTCTGCCTCAGTTCCTCTGTTCTGCTGGGAATGTGCCTGTTTATCTAAAAGGCCGTCTCTGTGGGTCCAAGCTGGCATGACAGGTTTATGTATTGGTGGTTCCAAGACAACTGCATATAGCCTGTGCTCATATAGAAAAGTGAAAATAAGATGCCGGTGTGCCTCCTGCCTGCCTGCAGGGCTGTCTGAGAGTGTGAGGGCTGCAGACCTGGGCTATAATTTTACATTCTCATAAGTAGGGTGACATTACAGAGTGATATGCAGTAACAATCTGAGAGAGAGTAAAGTATTTGTCTATATCACCAAAAGAGCCAAATGTGCGTTGTAGGAAACATATCATCTAAGGAGTTTTCAGCGACCCTCCGACTATGTGCTCAACGTTATGGTTGATTTGTGTTAAGTTGATGTAATTTTTCTAATTAAGTGCATTTTCAAAGAATATTATACAGTCCACATAATGTTGCATATGAGCCATAGTAAGTTCTGTGTAGCTAGGGTAAACAGGAGGTCCCTGGTGGCTCAGATGGGAAAGAATCCGCCTTCAATGCAGGAAACCAAGGTTTGATCCTTGGGTCAGGAAGATCCCCTGGAGAAAGGAATGGCAACCCACTCCAATATTCTTGCCTAGAGAATCCCATGAACCAAGGAGCTTGGCCAGCTACAGTCTATGGGGTCGCAAGGAGTCAGACAGGACTGAGTGACTCAGCGCACGCGGGGTGCATGAGACACAGCAAAAGTGCTGCCCGGAGGCTGTGATATAAGTGTTGCTCTCTGGTCCCCTCGGTGCTCTCGGAGCCTGCTTTTACCTGGATGATAAGCGTCAGCGAGCTCTGTGCCCTGCAGGACCTCTGGCAGCCAGCGTCACACAGTGGACACTGACATAGCCGGCTGTGTCACCCTAACCTCTCGCCAGCGCTATCCGCAGTGCCGTTGAGGACACCGCCACCCAAGCCAGTGCTCGGGTCCTGAGCTGGGCTCAGGCGGCCAGTTTTGTCTGGGAGGCTGAGCCTCGGAGCCTCCTCCCAAACACTGCTTCTGAGATTCCCTTTACTGGCCTGGATCCGCAACTGTGATGGGACTTAAAGGACTTCTTTAATGACTCCTTTAATGAACCAAGAGAGATACACGGAGAAAGCAAGAACAGAGGCTTGATGATGCTTTTTTCCTTTACTTGACCCTTCCACCCAGACACAATGTCCAGGGTTATCTTGGCTTCAGCCTTGAACTTGAACTGAGCTAGAGAAGGGCTCTGGGACTGTCTCCCACCATGGTCCAACCTCCCCAGACACCTCCTGGCATGCTCTATGCAGGGAAAGAAGCAGACATCCTGCCCCCCAGTCCAGACCCTCCCTCTGAGGGCTCGTCCTTACCCCTCACCTTGTTGGAACTTCTCTGAGAAATCCATTTGGCTTCAAGAAGCTTCAGGAATTTGGGGGGCATTGTATCTGGGGAGGGCCTAGGGGAAGAGCTGAATATGAATGGTGTCAGTATGAGAGATGGAGCCTGGAAACCCACGTGGACTGAAACTGACCAGACCAGTCAATAAAGGCTGCCTCCTTCTCAGCCTTTTAGGAAGCTCTGTTATGTTTGTTTACGTGATTCATAAGAAATGATACATTTAACTTTTAAATCTCAAATAAGCAGAATATCTGCAGATAATGCGATCGAGTCCTGAGGACAGTGTCAAACACTGCAAGACAGTGCAGTTGGCAGGAACCTTCCACTAGAAGGATCCATTTTTCATGGTTCTTAGAATGACTGGGCTTCCCAGGTGGCACTAGTGGTAAAGAGCCAGCCTGCCAAAACAGGAGATTTAAGAGTTGTGGGTTCCATTCCTGGGGCAGGAAGATCCCCTGGAGGAGGGCATGACAACCCACTCCAGTATTCTTGCCTGGAAAACCCTATGGACAGAGGGTAGCCTGGCAGGCTACAGTTCATGGGGTCACAAAGAGTCAGACACGACCGAAGCGACTTAGCATGCAGAATGGCTAGTGACTCCCTTCCTACTTGTTTTTCTGACAGAGGATGCTTTGGGGGAAATTAGGGGGAAAGAGAAAAAGATAAAATAACTGATATTAATAACTGGTGGGCTGCTCTCCTGACATGATCGCTGCATGTAAAATGTATTTTGTTTAAAAAAAAAAAAAGGTTTTCTTTGTGAACCTTATTTTGTTGTTTAGTCACTGAGTTGTGTCCAACTCTGCGACCCCACAGACTGCAGCCTACCAGGCTCTTCTGTCCATGGGATTCTCCAGGCAAGAAGACTAGAGTGGGTTGCCATTTCCTTCTCCAGGGGGTCTTCCCAACCCAGGGATCCAACCCGGGTCTCCTGCATTGGCAGGCAGATTCTTTACTACTGAGCCCCCAGGGAAGTCCAAGTCTTACTTTACTGATGAGAAAAAAAAGAAGTTAGAAAGGTCAAGTGATTTACCCAAGGTCACTCAGTTTGTCAAGAGTGGGCTGTAAGTGGAACCCATGGATGTGTCTCTGAAAACCATGCATTTTCCTCAAGGTTGTATCTTTTCATCCTTGTTGATACAAAGAAGTAATGATCACAAGCAATGTTGATTTATTCAGACTTTCTTCCAAAAGGCATTTTGGACTTAAGAAAGACACTGGTCAATGGCTCTTTGGCTTCCTCCTCCAACCACAGTGCAAATCAGGTTTAGAACCCCCAAGAGTTTTAAAGAGTGGGCTCGGCCAGCATCTGGAGCCCCAAGGGCAGAGCAGCAATGGAGAGTGGGGGAGGGGCGGGGGCGGGGTTGGGGAGTGGGGGGAGGGGCGGGGCGGGGTTGGGGAGTGGGGGGAGGGGCGGGGGCGGGGTTGGGGCGTGGGGGGAGGGGCGGGGC